CTTTTGATGTCTTTATACGAAGAAGAGTGTTTAGGACTATCTTAATTTTCCCCCAACAGCAATGTGGTGAAATAAAACTAAACATTGCAAAATTTACTTTTGTGATGCACATGGAAAAAAGATAATCATTCACACTCCATGATGGAGAAAACCAAGGTGAGGGTGAAGTAGAAAATCAAACAGTAAGGGAAAATAGTGTATTATAAGAGACTTTGAGTAAACTATGCCAAATAGGTAATAAAACTGATTTTTGAACAAATGCACCAATGATTATGGATATGATTCTTCAAAGTGATTCACTTTGGAGACTTTCATTAAATATGATGTTATTGCTATTTTACAAACATTTGGGAGATTTCTTTTTCAAATTTCTTTCAGTGGTTACATTACTTTGATTTAAATGTCAGTGATACATATTAAAAAAACATTCTGGAGGATAAATGCATTTTTGACAAGTGGTAGAATCAAGTTGAAGTCAAGTCTTATCAATAAGAATAAAAGTAACAAATATGGGATAGAGGAATAAATATTTCAATGCAAAAGTATGTAAATGAAGAATGTGTCATTGATAAACCAGATTAAAGGCTATTCTTGAAAAGCAGTTGCCAAGCCATTTTTAGTAATGGCAATAGGGCTGACATTAGTACATAATTTCCTAGATGATCTCTAAGAATGAGCCTCACTCAAACTTTTGTGTTCAAGGGACTCCAATTGCTTTTAGAAAAAAATACAGATTTATTTATTTCTCCTAATAAATTTTCCCTTGTGGTAACGAACATGGTAATTCTGATTTACTGGAAAGGTACCAAATTTGAAACTGGTTATAAACTCATAATCTATTTGTAACTATACCATTTTAAAGCAGTTCTAAAAACTCTAATTTAGTAAACATTTTCTCTTCCTTTCGAGAATAAAATCTGAGGGCAAGGTATATAACGCATGCATTTCAATACATAGTTATGCTTCCTACTTAGGTCATGCATTTTCCTATGTATCAAAGAACACCTCTCTATTATTAAAATCATTTCATGCTTTGCTACACATAGTATTCCATAATCCCACAGTGCCAAGCCTTGGAGAACATGCCTCTCACATTCAAAATATATCTAAAATAACAGTTTAACAGTTTGTGTATGTAAAATAGGGATAGGAACACCACCAAGTTGAAATAACGGTTGCCTAACAAATGAAAATATCCAAGCTCTTAAAGTCATAAACTTTGACCTTGAGATTTTAAAAAATGAAATGTGTTTAAACACACACACACACGCAGACCAGCTTACCCAAAAACCCATTTAAAAGTTTAAAGCCAGGCATGCATCTCTTAATAGTATTATTAATGGAGTTTATTTATGGAGAATTTGGGAAGATCAGATAAATTTAAAAAAACATCAGAAAAATGCAAGCTATTTTATCAAACTGATTTGGATACCTAAATGTGAATAGTTTTCCCTTAGAGTTCTGGCTTTATTCATTTATTATTCTTTTGGTAGACAAATGTCATCGTAGTCTGTTGCTAATAAAGCATCGGTTGTCTTATTGTTTAAAGATATACTCAAGGATAACACAGAATTATTTTTCTCAATTTCTCTCTCCTAAAACAGGTTTGTAAACAATAATTTTGACTTGAGGAAAATAAATAGAAAAAAGTAAACATGAAAAGCTAAGTTATCAATCACATATTCCTTATGAAAGCACTTCCTTTTTACCTCGCATGGTCCTGATCCAATCTTTTCAGCCCCGGCACATATTTCTGACTCATTCAGAGTCACCTTTCCTTGATGATGCTGGCTGCACTTCTCATTTCCCATAATGTAGAGATGTGCTACTCGTAACAGACCATCAGAGTTGATCACTAGAATAGAGCAAAATAGAAACAGTAAATGAGTTCAGAGCAAGGTGAGAAAAAGAAGAAATAAGACAAATGTGGTCTTTTTTCAGTAAAATAAATATTGCCTCATCTTTCTAAAACCAGCTTACATCCGGTGTAGCCCCAGCCATAAACACTGCAAGTGGTCTTTTCAGGAATTGTGCATCCATAATTAGGTAAATCAATCGTACTAACAAAATCGTCCAGAACAGCAGGCCTGAAAAGAGAAAATACAATGGTAAATACTCTCCACTGGATTCGACACAAAATTAACATTAAAATGTAGTATTCATGTTTAATATGACATTAACAGAGAATGAATCTTGTTTCTTAAAAAACTGGAATGTCTAATATATAATGGCAAAATTTGGAATAGTAGTAGAGAAATGAATCATTTATTTGGTAATATTGAGTAAGTGTTTAATGATATTTTTTATTTTACATTTTAAAGTTATCAAATAACTGCTCACAAAGCTTTAGTTTTAAAGCAGACTGATTAGACTGTTGGCTCAACTTTATTCATTTTTGAAAATTTGCAAATACCTGTCTCTCTCTCTACACACACATACAGAGACCCATACACACGTATGTATACACACACATATATATGACATGTGACATATGCTTTTATAATAAATCTATATGAGAGAGGAAGAATAGCCACACGGCTGAGGAAAATGCTTCAACAATTTTAGGCTAGGTTAAAAATACAAAATCTAAAGTAACTAACCTAGCAAGCTTCAGTAAAACCAGATCTGATCCTTCAGGTCCATATACTAGCTGGGAAACATTGAGAACCTGTTTGCGTTTCTCATCTCCTCTTCCATGAACATCATGAATTCCGAGCCAAGCTTCATAATCTTTCAAGTCTTTGTTTCTAAGTAAAAAAGTTTAAATGTAAAATATAATTCCAAATTATGTAATATTATTTCTATAATATGAAAACTGGC